GTATTTCATTCTACGTTCCAGGACTGAAATGGGTGAAGTAGGATTCGCTGAGTTGAAGTAGGGTGGTGTGGGTTAGAGAGGATGTTATTCACACCAGGAACGGCTGTCGCCTGCATCACCACGTTTCCGCCATCCCTTGCGCTCTCCTGCCAGTGCCACCTACCATCATGTCCTTCAGTTTTGGAGAGCGCACAGTGACTTGCCGGTGGTCGTTTAGCTTTCTGGCTTTCTATTGGCTGGTGCATGTCAGAGCACTAGACGGTGGTCGCTTTCGCGGAACGTCCTCGCTCCGTCGTGAGCGTGTGTGGAGGGGGCATCTGTAGGTTGCGGCAGCGCTGCGTTTCGTGGGGAGGACTTTCGCGCCCTCGAGTCGTCGTGGGCTAGTTCTTGGATTTCGTTAACGCTGTTCGTTGGACGACGTAACCGTTATCTTTCCTTGGCGAGTCGCAGCGCAAACCAGCGACGCTCACACCTTGGAAATGGTTCGGTTGACCAAGTTTCTAGAACCCCTAGCCTTGGTGATCCGCTTTGCTACCGCTTTTGCGAATTTTGTTTGGCTGCTAGCCGTCACCTCAAGCGTTTGTTACAAGTCGTAAATGCGTACTGACTATCGCGAACGCCAACACTTGCATCTCTTGGTCTGCTCTCGCTGCAGTACTGACCCTGAACATTTGTGATCAAGATGGGTCACCAAAAATTTTGTGCTTTTCATGAATGTGGTCATCGAGATGACCACAACCAATCAAAGCGAGGTTTGGCCTTCCAGTGGTTCGAGGAGATTTATTTTAATCTGCCCGGACGAGACAACCACAACCAAAACGCCTCAGAAAGTATTACCAAAAGAGCACCACGCACAAAATGAGGGGAACTCTCAGTTGAGTTTAGCTCAGCCATAGCATTTCGTCCTTCGTATCCTTTCAGTCGCCACGTCTGGATTCTACTCTCTAGAATCCCAGTTCAGCTGCGTCTGCAGTTTGTTCCATGTTCGGTGCCGCGAAGACCGCCCGTTCAGATTAGGTATCGTCCCTTTGTTAGATTCTACAAAGATTGCTGCTCTCATGCGATCTCACTGACTCGTCGAAGCAACAGACGGTCGAATCTCGCGAGTTTTAGACTCTGGAGCCACCAGTATCAAGCTGAGTCAATAGGCTTTTCTTGCGGTCGAGTTGCAGTAGCTCGTCTGGCTCAATCTCGTTAGAGACAGTCCTGGTAGTCTAGGATTCGATACTGTTTGTCCAGTAGCTCTTACCACGTCCTTGTCGTGGAATTCGGCGTTTCATCTTGGACCCAGCCGTCCGTATCCAAACACTTGAACCATGGCGTTTAGACCAACTCATCGAAACGAGTAAGTTCGTTCTTGAAGCTTTTCGTCGCTCACTAACTATGAAATTGGACTGCTTCTGTATGCAGCATCTACTTCTGTATTCGCGTGCCGAGCGGTTGCTGCAGCTGGCCATATGTAACCTCCTCCCGCCGATCACCTTCTTTCACATCCCCTCCCACAACCCTCGTCCCTACGCACCGCATCTCTCAACCCTTTCCATCTCCTCCCTTGTCTCCATCCTGAGCATCGCTGCTGGCTGCTGGGCGAACGCAGCAGCATCGAAGCACGTAAAGCTGCGAAATTGACCTTCATCCCCTCCTTTCCCCTCCTTTTCCCCCTTTTCCTCTGCGAAACCTGCTGGGCGACACACCAGCAGCGTCGGAGCACGTGTAGCGGCAGGTGGACCATCCTTCCCTGACTCTTTTTCCTCCCAATCCCGCCACTCCCCTTCTCCCTCCATCCAGCAAGGGGCGCAGCTAGCTGTTGGGCGACACACCAGCAGCATGGGGATACGTATAGCTGCAGGTGGACCATTCTCGCTTGAGTCGTTTTTCCTTCCTAATCCCGCCTGTCCCCTTCTCCTTCCATCCAGCAAAGGGCGCAGCTGGCTGTTGGGCGACACACCAGCAGCGTCGGAGCACGTGCAGTTGCAGGTGGACCCTATCCGCTCAGGGCTGGACCAAGAAATCGGGTCTCTCAGAGACCAGGTGTCCAAGCTTAAGAGAGTGAGTGCCGCAGGCGTTGTCTGAGTCAGGTGTGAGAGTTTTCTAAAGCAGCGGCAGGTGGACCCTATCCGCTCAGGGCTGGACCAAGAAATCGGGTCTCTCAGAGACCAGGTGTCCAAGCTCAAGAGAGTGAGTGCCACAGGCATTATCTGAGTCGCTTTTGAGGGTTCTCAAAAGCAGCTGCAGGGGGACGCTCGCACAGGGCCAGACCAAGAAATTGGGTCTCTCAGAGTCCGGGTGTTAAAGCTCAAGAGAGTGAGTGCTGCAGGCAAGGCGTGGTGGGGTGAAGCGGAAGGGGAAGGGAGAATGCGCTAGATAATAAGGAAGATCTCTAGGAGGAGGTGCAGGGGGGGATTGGGGAGGAGACGGTTGGAGATTGATGGAAGCTCAGGCTGGGAAACTGGCCGAGGGTTTAGAATTGGAGGGCAATGGGTGTGGACGGGGAAGACGTGCACGCTCCATCCCTTCCTTCCTTCCTCCAATCTCCCTCCCTCCTCTCAAGTCCGTGTCTCCTTCTTTCTGCCTTCCCTTTCTCACGCTCTCTTTGTCTCAATGCCCCCCCTGTCATTCTCTCATGCCCGCCGCTTCTGTTTCTCCTTTTTCCACAGGTAGCAGGCGACATAGCCCTTGAGACCAAGCAGCAGAACGATATCCTTAATCAGCTGGTGAGTCTTGCATCAACGTGCATGTATTGTGGTGCTCGCATGTGTGTACAGTTTTTCAGATGTCATAAAATACATGTATTCTTTTCCCTCTTCATTCTTCTTATTATAACCCTACCTCACCTACCTGTGTTTTACTCACCATGTTTTTCCTACCTCATTTCCTCAATTCGACTCTCCCTCTCATCGCTCGCCCTCCATACCTCCTCATCCAACACCTCTTCCTCTCCCTTTCTCTCAGGAGCACACCATGGCTAAGGCGCGGGCAGCAGTGCGCAACACAATGCGGAAGGTAGACAGGCACCTTAAGGGCAGTGGGTCCGCGCACCTGTTACACGTCATCCTCTTTGCGCTAGCGTGTTTCCTCTTTGTGTACCTCTGGAAGAAACTTTGGTGATGCAATGTACAGTTCTCAACCTCAGTACAGTTCTGTTGCTGCATATAGCTCCTCGCGTTTGCCTGTGCCTTTGGCTGTTTTAGGTGGCTCTCATAGGCTAAAGCCATTCACCCAGATTGCGGAACAACATTATGCAATCAATGAGGTGGCCTAAAGATACACATCACACTCCCCCCAGGGTTAGAATCGCTCATGGACCCTGGCATGAAGCACCAAAAGTAGTACATTGTCTCATCACTCTCCAAACCGAGAAGGAATGTGGTGTCTAATTTCCATGCTTCAAAGAACAATGACACAAGAAAACACTCAAGTATCATGTGCATTGTTCAATATCGGGGCAGTCGTTCGATGCAGATGTTTTCCCTTGTCTGGTTTATGGTCCATAGGTTCGGACATACAGTGTCGCATCCGTCACGTGTCACAGTCAAGTTCCAACGACCATGAAGTTTGTTGTGGGAGCTGGAGCCGCAACCTCGGTGTGAAAACAAGCCGAACCAGTGAGAACACAGGAAAGCGCATCTTGTTGCAAGAGGTATATGCTTTGCAACATATTTTCCGCTAAAAACCGATGTTTCGCTAAACAGAAACGCCATCATGGTTGACATCGGCATTTATAATTGTTGAAGTGACCCACATGAGTTCTTGTTTTACAGCGCGGCGTGGGTATTCCTGGCCGTCGGATGGAACGGAAACACCGGGGCGAGTCGCCTCTCGAAACAAGTCGAGGCTAAAAAGTTTCCTGGTTCGGTTCATTTCCCAAACCGCTCCCCCAGTCGCGGATCCACAGACCAATCAGGTAGCGATGCAAACCCCACCTCGAGGCCACGTCTCTCGTCACTCCCGAGCCCAGGCTTGAACCGCACCTAGCAGCCCCTCCGCCACACCATTTCCCGAACCGCCGCGCTTGCCGGGGCACCCACGGCTTGGGACTGAATGTCCTGTGCTGCAGGACACCGCACGCTACGGTTCCGTGCTGTGCTTCTGACAGGAGCCCAGCCCAGCCTCTTGTTCCCCCGATTCTCCCGAGCTCCAGAATGATCTCCCGCCACTCCGTGCTTTCCGTTGCCTCTCTCCCACACACTGGGCGTGGCCTTGCAGTGCAGAGCAGAGCAGAACCGTTGCCTCCACTCCACGCTCCGTTTCTAGCTCTCGCTGATTCTCCCTGACACTGGGAGCTGAGAGCTGGGCCGTTGCTGGGCGATCTTTGAGACACCATGACCCAAGCAGCAGCTTGCATTGCTTTGAACGACGAGCTTTGTTCTACAGCTCCTGGAATGGCCGATTACCTTTCTTGCCTCTACGGCCGTGGTAGCAACAGCCATACGCCTTCGCTGGTTTGGCCGATTGAACTAGAATCTGCTCCGCCGTCCCCGCCGTCGTCGCCGTCACGTGCGTGCGAGCTTGCGACCAATCGCGCGTGCTGCCCGCTCGAGCCTCCAATCAGCTTCGAGATGCGGAGTGGAGGTGGTATGGTCATGCAGACTAATGCACAGCAGCAACAGCAGCAGCAGAAGCAACAGCAGGAGCAGACATGTAAAAACAAATTTGTCACTCATTTTGGCGAATTGTCGTCGTGCGACCGTTCAACTCGAAAAGCATCGTCGTCGTCGTCATCGTCATCGCCGTCTCCGTCGTTCGCGTTAGAGTCAGCCTTGCACGCGTCGCCATGCGCGTCGGCCGCTCTCGACCTTCTCTCCCTGCCTCCCGCCGAGGCAGCTTCGTTGCTGCAGCAACTCCTGGTCGAAGCGGGCGTCGCAAATCGACCAGCGTCGCACGGCGACAACGACGACAGTCGCACAGGTTTCGCCACGTTCAGGCTTCGCTCGGGCGGCAAACACCCCAAGCGGCCGCGGCCGCTGGTAGGGCTGAAGAATCTAGGCAACACGTGCTTTATGAACGCGTGCGTGCAGTGCCTTAGTCACTCCATGCCCCTCGCCCTCTACTTTGTGCAAGAAACCGCCGCCGCCGCTAAGGGGCTTCCACCCTCGCGAACAGAGTTGGCAGGTGGCGCGTCGTCTGGTAATCGCACTGGGTTCGCTGGAAATGGGTTGCCGGCCGCAATTGGCGGCGGCAGGTCAGGGGAACGGGTGGGTGCTAGGGAAGAGTCGCTGAGGGAAGCTGGCGAGGCGGTGGCTGCGGCGTTGGGTCGGCAGCGGCAGCAGCAGCAGCCCAATAAAATCTTCTCACCGTACAGTACCGCTCTGTGTTCAGAAAATTCCGCGGATTCAGCTAACCAGTTCACGCGTGCGAGGGACAGCCCGTGCCGGCAGGGAATTTCCGTGAGCGGGCCGTTGAGTTCGACGTGCTACCGCGGCTGCGGCGATTCCGAGGAGGGTCGCGCGACTGTCAATTTCAGTGGTCCGCTGCATGCGACGCCTGCGACTCACGCGACGTTGTCGTCGTCGTTGCCGCTGGTGGAATGCCGCGGCGGCTGCAAGAAACCCCACTTAGGGCATGTTCGTAGCGACGGGTGCTTTAACCTATCCTTCGGCTCGGCATCCCCGAAAGTCCCGTGCCACGTCACGTCTTTAAAGAGCGGATTAGTCTTCGGAGGATCGTCGATCGGGAGCCCGCTATCCGTCCCCGTGGGTTGCGGACTTAATGGCGGCCATAGCCCTGCTGTCGGTCCCCCGCATCTCCCCCTGCCGCTCCCCGCCCTCCCCGACTCCCTGCGCCCGCGGGACGCGGGCGCTGACGCGTGCGCGGACTCCCTGCGCGGAGCTCCCGCGGAGGGCGCGCGCGCAGCGTGCGCGGAGGCGCGCGAGTGCGGAAGCGGAAGCGGAGGCGAAAGCGGGGGGAAGGAGGTGAAGGAGGTGTCGCGGAGTTTCGGGCGGCTGGTAACAGAGCTGTGGGCGGGGGAGGCGGCGGGCGCAATCAGCCCCGCGGAGCTGCTGTCGAGCGTGCACAAGCACGTGCCGCACTTCGCGGGGTTCGGTCAGCACGACTCGCAGGAGTTTCTGCGATCGCTGGTGGATAAACTGGACGAGGAGACGCGGGGGCAGAGCGAGGTAAGCGTGTGGAAACGGGCGATTAGTGAGGATGGGGAGAGCGAGATGGAGAGGGCGAGGGAGGGAGAGAGAGGGGGAGAGGAGGCAGAAACGTGATTGGGAAAGTCAGGTTTCAAGAAGCAGAGTTTGTGTGTGCTTGCCTTAGGGGTTAATTGCACGAGATGAGAGGGTTAATAGCGTAGTAAGAACTTAAGGGTTAATGGTGCTGAAGTGTTGATAGAGTAGGCCTTACGTGTTATTAGCGCTTAAGGCCTAATGCATGCTGCATTGCTCTACCAGTCGCCATTGCTTTTATTTGCTAATCCATACCACTCCCTCTCACCCCTTCTACAATCCCTCCTCCCTCTTTCTCCCCACAGCTCCCAAAATGTCACAGCCTGCCCGAAAACCTCGACCAGCTGCCCGAAGCGGAGCAAGCGGACGCCCTCTGGCGGCAGCACTGCGTGCGGTTCGCCAGCCCCATCCAGCAAATATTTTGCGGGCAGCTGCAGAGCACGATCGAGTGTCTGACGTGTCACCACCGGTCGCACTGCTTCGACCCCTTTTTGGACCTGTCTGTGCCCATCCCCCGCCGGCGCTTCTTCTCCTTCCGCGCGCCCTCCATCCGCGACTGCCTGGGGGAACTCCTGGCGGAAGAAACGCTGCAGGGGGACAATGCGGTGAGCAGCCCTTTCCTTCCCATCCCCCACGTGTGACATTATAGTGAGGCGACTTTTGAGTCGAATCAAAAGAGCTCCTGGCGGAAGAAACGCTACAGGGGGACAATGCGGTGAGAAGCTCTATCCTTCCCATCCCCCACGCTTCTTACTCCCTCCCGCCCCCTTCCCTCTCCGACACCCCCCCCCCCCCCCCCCCACCCCCTCCCTCTCCGTTATCACCCCTCCCCCCCCACCCCTCAACCGCCCCCACCACGTGTTTGATTTTCTGCCATTGGCAACACACCAGGTTCCTGGGCTGCTGCTGGCCTCCCAGTTTGCTTCCTTCCTCTACAACAGTGCTGCTCCTGAATTTTGTTTTGAGACTCACCTACCTGCGTCCTAACCTATTCAACTTACCACTTGTTGCCCTCCCTATGTCTTTTGCCATCTTCCCTGATTCCTTGCTTCCCACAGTACTCGTGCTCGCACTGCAAGAAGCCAAGCAAGGCCGTGAGACGACTGTCCGTCGTGCGCTTCCCCTCCATCCTCGTTATACACATTAAGGTAGGTCCTCGTTAACATGTGGTAGTTATGTGTTGAACATACACACCTGTTGAAAATGTTGTGAGGGTGATTTTTGGGGTATTCTCCATCTTAAGCTCTCTCTTCCTCTGCGTTCCCTTTTCCATGTTCCCTTGTCCCCCTCACTGTCTCGCATGTGCAACAGAGAGTCGCCTCATCAGCTATCTCCCTCTTTCAGAAGGACTCCACCTTTGTTTCCTGTGACCTGCACAGCCTTGACCTCTCAAAGTTCCAAAGGTGCGCTTGCTCCCTCTCGTTGTGCTTAAGTCGTTATGCCTGATATAGCTTAGATTGCTGTCTGTCCACTCTGATTTCTGCTGTGCTGGTTCTTCCCTGTGCTGGTTCTTCCCTGTGCTGGTTCTTCCCTGTGCTGGTTCTTCCCTGTGCTTGGCTCAGTATTTCACCCTCTGCCCCTCCCCTCCTGCTTGCCACTCCCCCACTCCCATCATCCCATCAGCTCACTCTCTCGAGAACATCCCTCCACAGAGCCTGTCAGTCCTCTCAGTCCTCCCAGCCGCCCCGAGAGCACAAGTTACCCCACCAGTCCCAGCGGATCAGCCCCCCCGGTGTACGATCTATACGCTGTGACAAACCACATGGGGTCACTCTCTTCGGGACACTACACGGCGCACTGCCGCAACCCTGCAGACGGGCAGTGGTATCTGTTCAACGACAGCGGCGTGTCGCCCATTGCTGCTTCTGCTGTGATCTCCTCGTCAGCTTATGTTCTCTTCTACCAGCTCAGGCACAATCCCGAGGGGTTCTGACTGCCGCAATCCTGCAGACGGGCAGTGGTATCTGTTCAACGACAGCGGCGTGTCGCCCATTGCTGCTTCTGCCGTTATCTCGTCGTCGGCTTATGTTCTGTTCTACCAGCTCAGACGCAATTCCGAGGTGTTCTTGACTGCTTGCGGTGTGATTGGAGGGGGCTGCAGTACTGCTGTCTGACCTGAGGTTACCAGTCTATGGGGAAGTGTAGTAGTAATAAGTAACTCTAGCTCGATTTATGGTTATGTGGCATTAGGTTAATGTTTCCCATATTGAGTACCGGTACCGGTAGCTTACATTACGGTTTTGTTATATAACTCGCAAAAATATAGTATTAAGCATCTGATTGGTTTAGACTAAGCTGATTCATCAGGGCCTCTGATTTGATTTTGCAAAGATTGCTGGAAGATTTCGTCTGAATTTTCATACGGTAGTTTCTTCAAAAGATCATAATATGATTGGTTTTGGTCAAAACAAAATACACACTAATGAAGGTGTTCTGTGTAGTATACCGTAGGTTGCTGCAGTTCCGGTGTAGCATGCCTACCGCATGTATGATATTGGCAATGACCTTTATCTGAGTCAAAGACTTGATTGGTACATGTTTACATTCGTAGAAAGAATCCTACCGGTATGAAACAAAGATAAATAAAGCACTACCAAAGGGATAAATACTAGGACAAATTGTCTCTTCTAGCACTTGAACTGAAGGTGGGGGTACGAATGAGAGGGAGGAGGAGCCTGGGGTAAAGAGTGTAGAGGAGAAACAAAGATAAATAAAGCACTACCAAAGGGATAAATACTAGAACAAATTGTCTCTTCTAGCACTTAAACTGAAGGTGGGGGTACGAATGAGAGGGAGGAGGAGCCTGGGGTAAAGGGTGTAGAGGAGAGGAAGGCCAAGATGGAAGTAAGATCGAAGTGGGAGAAACGTGGGTGGTTGTAACTAGAAGGCACTCACATGAATCAAGATGCCATGCAGAACATGTCATGCATCACATGCCATGCAACACATTCCATGCACCACATGCCATGCAACACATGCCATGCAACACATGCCATGCAACACATGCCATGCAACACATGCCATGCAACACATGCCATGCAACATATGCCATGCAACACATGCCATGCAGCACATGACGTGCATCAAATGTCATGCACCACATGCCATGCAACACATGCCATGCAACACATGCCATGCAACACATGCCATGCAACACATGCCATGTGCCACCCTTCCAGCATACTCTGTGCAGCACATGTCGTTGCATGTACTGCTGCACACACATGTCACGCACACCAGTGGTCTCATCTAATAATTTCATCACATGCGTTACTCATATCACCATGCACCAATTAAACGCACATGCCATGCATCCAGCACATGCCATGCATCCCAGCACATGCCATGCATTCCAGCACCTTCATTGCACCACATCAATCCGCGACTGTCGAGCATTCCACAGCTGTCTCTCACTCCACTCACACCGGCGCACACACAGCCGTGCCACCCGCTTCCCATCCAGTATCGGCCTCACCCATTTCGTCGACACCTTGTTAAAGCCCACATCCAGCTCCTTCAACCGCGGCACTTTACTGACGTGATCCAGAAATGCCGCACGCATGTTGCAGCACTGCTGCACCTTTAAGCGCTCTAAACTCTTAAATAAACAAAGCTTTGAAGCGCCCTTGTAGCTGACTCCTGTGGCTGACAGATCCAGCGCCTTTAAGTGCAGCAAGCTCTGGCTCCACCCTTGCAACTGTGAATCCACATACAGGCCACATCCAGCCAGCCCCAGGTCTCTCAACTGAGAAAAGCTCCTGATCCATCCAACGTCCTTCAGGTTTGTGCCGGTGACGTGCAGAGTGGAGAGGCGTGTGAGAGGGGCGAGAGCTCGCAGGTCTTGTTTGCTGGTTGCCACTCCATGCACCCCAACATGCTGCAAGCCTGGCAGCGCACCCACCACGTCCCACACACTGGCATCCAGGCACGGATGCTCGGGGTTATCCAGCAAATCAGCACAGTCGCAAACGCCCGTGCCGTTGGGTTCGAGCAACTCGCAGACTCGGGAAAAAACCGGCAGGGAATCACTCCGGAATTGCAGCTCCAGGTAATGATCGTACAGGTTTGCTGGCGCCACCTGCAGCCTCGTGAGCCTCGTGAGTCGTTCCAGCTGGTTCAATCCGTAGATGGTCACTTTCTTGCTGCACGTACACGAGAAGGCTTCAAGGCGGTACAAACAGCCCACCTGGCGAAGCAGGGAGTCACTCACGTGACTGACATGCAGCTCCCTTAGATTCTCAAATGGCTGCTGATGGGAACCGACAGACGCCTGCTGCTGCTGCTGCTGCTGCTGCTGCTGCTGCTGCTGCTGCTGCTGCTGCTGCTGCTGCTGCTGCTGTTGCTGCTGTTGCTGCTGCTGCTGCTGCTGCTGGGTACCAGTACCTGTACCCATACCCGTACCCCGAGAGGGCGCATGAGTGTCCAGGTTCAGGTAGTGCGATTTCGGGCAGTCCAACACAAGCCTATGCAGACGAGACAAGGACGATAGCCGAAACTGCCCCCCAGGCTTGATGGTAGTTTCCTGGAAGCAGAGCGAGGTGAGGGACGGCAGCAGGTGAAGCGCGGAGAGTGCGCGGGCGCGGATGGGGGAGAGGCGGTGTAGGGTGAGGGAGGAGAGGGAAGCGAAGAGGCGCGGGTAGTAGCGGGGACAATAGGTGAGGAAAAAGAAGAGGCTGTTGTTAGGTTTGTCATTGAAGACAGGGTTGGAGCTGGACAGTGTGAAGTCATGTGCTGTCTCTTCACTTGTCTCTTCTCCTGACTCTTCACCTGACTCTTCATCTGACTCTTCACCTGACTCTTCATCTGACTCTTCACCTGACTCTTCAACTGACTCTTCACCTGACTCTTCACCTGCTTCCTTTTGGGCCACCAGGAAGCGGATCACCTCGCCCTTAGTTTTCTCCCTCTGTGCTCTCTCTCTCTGTGCTTGCTCCCGCTGTGCCCGCTCCCGCTGTGCCCGTTCCTGCAAAGTCTCCTGCACAGCCAGTGTTGGCAGCTCCCCTGCACCCTCCAGCACCACCCATTGTGCCCCTTGTCCTGCTTCTCCCCCTTGTGCCCGCTCCCGCTGTGCTTGACCCCGCTGTTCCAACTCCTGCAGAGTCTCCTGAACAGCCACCGTTGGCCGCTCCCCTGCACCCTCCAGCACCACTCCTGGTGTCCCTTGTCCCACTTGTCCCCCTTGTGCCTGCTCCCGCTGTGCCCGCTCCCGCTGCTCTTGCTCCCGCTGCTCTTGCTCCAGCTGTGCTTGCTCCCGCTGCGTTTGCTCCCTCTGTGCCAACTCCTGCAGAGTCTCCTGCACAGTCAGTGCTGGCCGCTCCCCTGCACCCTCCAGCACCACTCCTTGTGCCTCTGCTGCCCCTTGTCCCCCTTGTGCCCCCTCTTGCTGTGCTTGCTCCCGCTGTGCCCGCTCCCGCTGTGCTTGCCCCCGCTGTGCCAACTCCTGCAGAGTCTCCTGCACAGCCACCGTTAGCCGCTCCCCTGCACCCTCCAGCAGCACTCCTTGTGCCCGTTGTCCCGCTTGTCCTCCTTGTGCTTGCTCCCGCTGTGCTTGCTCCCGCTGTGCTTCCTCCCGCTGTGCCAACTCCTGCAGAGTCTCCTGCACAGCCAGTGCTGGCCGCTCCCCTGCACCCTCCAGCTCCTCTCCTTGTGCCTCTGGTGCCCCTTGTCCCACATGTGCCCCTTGTGCCCCTTGTGCCCCTTGCTCCACTTGCGCCCCTTGTCCAACTTGCCCCCCTTGTACCCCTTGTAACCCTTGCGCCCCTTGAACCCCTTTTCCCCCTTGTCCCCCTTGTCCCCCTTGTCCCCCTTGTCCCCCTTGCGCCCCTTGTCCCCCTTGCGCCCCTTCTCCCCCTTGCGCCCCTTGCGCCCCGTGTGCCCCTTGCGCCCCTTGCACCCCTTGCGCCCCTTGCGCCCCTTGCGCCCCGTGTGCCCCTTGAGCCACTTGTCCCCCTTGTCGCCCTTGTCCCCCTTGCGCCCCTTGTCCCCCTTGCGCCCCTTGTCCCCCTTGCCCCACTTGCCCCCCTTGTACCCCTTGCGCCCCTTGCGCCCCTTGCGCCCCTTGCGCCCCTTGCCCCCCCTGCCCCCCTTGCGCCCCTTGCACCCCTTGCGCCCCTTGCCCCCCTCGTCCCCCTTGCGCCCCTTGCCCTGCCCGTGCATGCAGCAGCCCATTCCTATCCACTCCACCTGCCCTTCCCGCCCCTCCTCTCCCATCCCCCCCGACTGCCTGCGCCCTGGTCTCGCCTCCCTTCCCCCCCTCACGCCTCTCCCCCATGCACCCTGTAGCGCCTCCGCCTGCGCCCCCGCCCCCCATCACCCCCCTCTGAGCAAGTCTGGCTGGTGTGGGGCGAGCCTGAGCGTGGGGCTAAGAGGGACAAGGGGAAGGGATGGGGGGGGGAGAGAGATGCGGAGATCCATGGGGGGATGGTGAGTGAGAGGATGCATGGAGTGGGCGAGAAGAAACGGTGAAAGCGCGAGGGACGAGGAACGGGGAAGGGAGATAACACGTGAGAGAGCTCTTACCGTTGAGGGAAGAGTGTTTACGTACCACGAGGGAATGACTAGTCTAATTGAGGCTTCAAATGCTGAGGCGCCTCAAAACGTTGAGGCCTCGATGACTCTTCACCGCCACTACTCTCATCTTACCACAACCTCGCTGGTACACTGCCTCAGTGCTGCTCACCTGCACCAAGTCGAATTTTGGGGCGCCTCAAAACCAGGCTTAGTGCTGCTCACCTGTACCAAGTCGAGTTTTGAAGCGCCTCAAAACCAGGCGCAGTGCTGCTCACCTGTACCAAGTCGAGTTTTGAAGCGCCTCAAAACCAGGCGCAGTGCTGCTCACCTGTACCAAGTCGAGTTTTGAAGCGCCTCAAAACCAGGCTTAGTGCTGCTCACCTGTACCAAGTCGAGTTTTGAAGCGCCTCAAAACCAGGCGCAGTGCTGCTCACCTCCTGTACCATGTCGAGTTTTGAAGCGCCTCAAAACCAGGCGCAGTGCTGCTCACCTGCACCAAGTTGTAGTTATCACCAACGCCTTCCTCCATTGGAGCCCTCATCTCCTCATCCTCAGCTTCCTCTTCTTCCTCCTCCTCCTCTTCCTCCCTCTCCTCCTCTTCCGCCCGTTTCTCCTGTTCCTCCTCCTCCTCTCCCCTTTCCTCCTCCGCCCCCTCCTCGTCCCCCTCCTCCTCCCCCCCCTCCTTTTCAACCTGCATCGCCTCGCAAGCCACCACGTGTGTCGCCCACAGCGCACGCACTTGCCGCCTCACCTCCTGCGCCCTTTCTCTGGCCGCCTTTGCATGGGAGGTAAGGGCTTTGAGGTGCTGCCAAGAAAAAAACACGAGGGGAGGGGCGAAGTTTGAGACCTCTCAAAACACAGCGCACGCACTTGCCGCCTCACCTCCTGCGCCTTCTCTCTCACAGCCTTAGCATGCGAGGTAAGGCACTTCAGGTGCTGCCAGGCAACACACACACAGGGAGAGGCGCGGAGACGGGAATGGCTGAATGGGGAATGGCCGAACGGCAACGCCAGTAGCGCTGCCAGGCAACACACACAAAGGGAGGGGCTGCTTGTCGGCACAGGCAAGAGGGCTAGCAGGTGCTGCCCAATAGGAGTGTGTGTGGGACGGCAGGGCTGAACGAGACCGTGGACGAGGGAGGGGGCAGGGGACATGGGATGGGGACATGGGATGGGGGCATGGGATGGGGACATGGGATGGGGACATGGGATGGGGACATGGGATGGGGACATGGGATGGGGACATGGGATGGGGGCATGGGATGGGGGCATGGGATGGGGGCATGGGATGGGGGCATGGGATGGGGGCATGGGATGGGGGCATGGGATGGGGGCATGGGATGGGGGCATGGGATGGGGGCATGGGATGGGGGCATGGGATGGGGGCATGGGATGGGGGCATGGGATGGGGGCATGGGATGGGGGCATGGGATGGGGGCAACCGGATGGCTGGCAACCGAATGGCTGGCAACCGAATGGCTGGCAACCGAATGGCTGGCAACCGAATGGCTGGCAACCGAATGGCTGGCAACCGAATGGCTGGCAACCGGATGGCTGGCAACCGAATGGCTGGCAACCGAATGGCTGGCAACCGAATGGCTGGCATGGCGGGCATTGGAAGGTTATAAGATGTAAGCATGCACTATGACTCATCATACCTCCTTCATGCGGAGTGCAGCAGAGCCATCAGCCATGCGAGCTCGCTTGCGCCCTGCGCCACCGGCTGCATCTAGAAAATTCGTGTCTGTCTTGACGCAGCGTTTAAGAAGCTCTGCTCGCACGAGTACCTCCTCCATTTCCTCCACGATGCATTCTTCTAACCCCGCCACCACCCCCTCTGCCTCCTTCAACGCTGCTTTTAGTCGTTTTCTGAGCCTCTCCGCCTTCTCCGCCCTGGCTTCAGCCTCACGCGCTTTACTCTCCACCTCTTTACGCTTTTTGGCCTCCTCCTCCCTCACTCGCTTCCCCACGATCTCGCTCAATTTCTTCCTTTCTTCTTCTCTCCATTTATTCCACTTTTCCTGACGCGCCCTCTTCTTTTCTTCCCACCTTATCCTATTTCTCTCCTCCTTTTTCGTCCTCTCTTCCTCTCGCTTCCTCTCTTCCTCTCTCTCCCTTTCTTCCTCTCTCTTCCTTTCTTCCTCTTTCTTCCTCTCTTCTTCTCTCTTCCTCTCTTCTTCTCTCTTCCTCTCTTCCTCCCTCTTTTGCTCTTCCTCTATCTTCATCTCTTCCTCCCTCTTTCGCTCTTCCTCCCTCTTTTGCTCTTCCTCTATCTTCATCTCTTCCTCCCTCTTTCTCTCTTCCTCTCTCTTCCTCTCTTCCTCTCTCACCCTCTCCTCCTCTCTCTTCCTCTCCTCCTCTCTCTTCCGCTCATCCTCTCTCACGCTCTTCTCCTCTCTTTTCCGCTCCTCCTCTCTCACCCTCTCCTCCTCCCTCTTCCTCTCCTCCTCTCTCTTTCGCTCTTCCTCTCTCTTCCGCTCTTCCTCTCTCTTCCGCTCTTCCTCTTTCTTCCGCTTTTCCTCTCTCACCCTCTCCTCCACCTCCGCAAGCCTCTCCGCCAGTTGCGCCGCCACGCGGACCTCCACGGCGCGTTGCGCGCACCACCGGCTCACACCCACCAGCTGCTCAAAAGAAAGCTCCTCCGCGCTCCCCGCTGCCGCGCCCATCATGCCGATTACCCGCATCGCCACGTCATCCTGCCTCATCCCCGGAAGCACTCCTCTATGAGCTCCATCTCCGCCCTCTCCTCTCCGAACCCGTGCGCTTTCCCCATCTTCCGCCATTCCTCGCGTCTCCGCCGTTGCATCCTTCTCCGCCAGCGCGCGCGCCTCTCCGAGAGGCGCGAGGGGGGCTCCCCCGTTTTGCGTTGCCTCGCGCCGCGGTTGATGCTCCCGTGAATAATCTTCCCATCCATCCCCGCCGATCCGCACTCGCCGCCGGTGGTAACAAACCACAACAGGATGACCCGTTTTTCGACCTTCTCTCTGCGCTTCGAGGGCCTCCTCGTCATGCTCCCCCGTCTCCCCACCTTCACTCTGCGCTTCGAAGGCCTTCCCGTCATGCTCCCCTGTCTCCCAATGCTTTGCGTCCATCGCCACTCGATATAGTAGCACTGCACCCGTCGGCCCATCATTTAACGGTGCTCCGCGAGTCTCGGAGGGGCCATCCGACGGAGTCCCAGGACTCAACGTGACCCTGGCTGCCGTCGCATCCGCGGCATCATTGTTCGCGTCCGTCGCCACACTGATCGCGCGACGCGTCGACCTTCGCGAACCAATCGCGTGAGGACCGTGGGGTCGCTTCATTCCGTGCGCGCTGGGGCCTGGGGCGAGGCTCAAGTGAAAGCCCTATCTGGCGGAAACCGAATCATGTCAAAACACTGCAAGGAATGAGGTGGCCGACTAGTAACAGGGCCGCGCCAGCACCGTGGAATGCCATTGACTCAATAATGCGACGGCGGACGTGCCGTCAGTGGTGAGGATGAAACCTAATAGGCGTGTAGACCAGAAACGCAGCAACGAGTAAGGGAGCTCTAAGAAATTGAAGCTAAGGCTGCTGGGTCGGGGTGGAAAGTATGATGACAATGGCTAATGATGGTAGTGCATGGGTGGGAGTGGGAAGTTCTGTGAACCAGGCGAGAAAGTGATGACGGGACGGGTGGTGTGCAGCATGGCTGGCAATGGGATGGGAGGGGGACGCGCTTCGTCCAGAAGATTTGGTGCTTGAACTTTCAAACATTCAAAAACCACAACAAGCCCGGTATACGTCCTACCCGCTCATGCGATAACGGCCAAAGCCGATACATGTACTTCTACAGAATGTAATTCAATTTTGATCTTAACGTGACTTGCTATGGCACCAGCCTAGAAGTAAGGTAGCGGTATGCTATTTACCGTATAACGACCACTTGACGTGATGTATAATTAGGATTTATAGATACCGTACATAGTAGTTGTATCCCCTTCTCGATAGTCCAACTAACTCTCCTTTCTCCAAACTCCTCGGTCAAGTCCCTTAGACTTTTCTAACATTTCCCCCTCACTCCCCAATTGCCCCTCTTTCCCTGTGTCTGCTGGGTCTCTTCCACTGTGAGCGAGGCGCAAAGCCCCAAACACACCCTACTAAGACACACTAACAACACAGTGTAATCAACTAAGAAACACACCCTAACACATGCTGAACAACTGTTTGTTTGAAAAGGCTCAGAAACACAAACCAGGTTATATCATGTGCCCTCAACACAGATTACATCTACACGGGTTCTCTAAGGGTTCTCAGGTCCAGATGCTGCACTGTAAGTTACACCTACGATGCTACCAACTCCCACTCCCCACCCCTACCCCCACCTCTCCCTCCTCGTCCTCATCATCCTCTTCACCCTCCCATCGGTCCTCCGCTTCTGTAAAGGGAGCATCCGGCGCAGGGAGCTCAGGCATTGGGTGGTCCTCGGCACAGAAAACCGCCGTCCAGTCCTTCTTATCCACCATGTACCTATCCTCCTCGCCCAGACTATACCCCGCCATCAATCCCCCATTCACACTGTGCATCTTATCCCGCACGGACTTGCGCCCGTTGCGAAACGACGGGCTCTTCTTCACACCCCTGTGCTGCCTCCGGTGTTCCACGGGCCCTCCCTCCACCGTGCGTCCCTTCCGCTCCCAGTAGAACGTGCGCCACACAACACAGTACAGCGCCAACAACGGGTATCGATCCTTGAGGGTAACCAGTAGTTCGGGAGGCACCTGGCAGCGGCTTGGGAAGAAGAGAGCCTGCAGATTCGGAGCTTCCAGAAACGGAAGCTCAGGGAACTCTTCCCGGCCTTCTGACTCGTTATCAGCAAACGGGTCTCGCTGCTCCTCCTCCTCCTCCTCATCACTTTCCGAGCCTGCTGCAGTCGCATAGATAGACTCTGTGCGGTCGCCATCATCAGCCCCTGCAGCCACCTGTTTGCCGAACGGGCCTGCGTGGAACCGCGTGCGGCCGCGGAGAGTGTGCCTCTGCTGATCCCTGCGCTCCTGCCTCCTCTCCATCCGCCGCTTCTCCCGCTTCCACAGCACCGAGTCATCGTCCTCCCCCTCGTCTGCATCTTCCACTGTAATCTCCTCGCACACCATGCCCCCCACATCACAGTCGCTCTCCACCACAACCCCAAGGCTGCGCTGCCGAGGCCAGGAAAGGCGGCATGACTCCACGTTGATATCATGCCTCGTTATAAGCGCCTCCACTGTTGGCGCTACTGCGCGCAGCCAATCTGCCCAGGAAAATAATGGCTGCGGCCGCGTGGTGTAGACCCCCCCGTGCTGCGGCCCCATCCTGTGCGCGCGTGATGTGGCGCTCGGCAGGAGCCTGATTGGAGCATTCAGGTAGAGAGCTCGGACCGAAGCAACATCAAACCAGGAGACATGTATCTTCTCTTTCGCATAGAGAAACAGCTCCTCCAGACTCAAGGCACCGGTGCTGCTGCAGCTGAGTATGAGCGACTGGGCGCAGGCGGAAAAGGTGTGGAAAGCGGCAGGCAAAGACAGCTTCAGCTTCAGCTCGTGATGCAGGAAGCGGAAGCAGACGCGGCGAGCATTGGGAAAGTCCAAGGCAAGAAACACCGGCCCCGACGTCTCCCCCCACTCCTGGAGGTGCTGAGGCTCGCAGAACGTAAAATCATGCAGCTGCGGGGTAAGATCAGCCAGGGCCTTCAAGCACACACCCCTGGGATCCACGCCTTCTAGTGTTAGGCTCCGTAGGGAGCGCATCCAGCGAGCCTTCACACAGGACTTGTCCAGACGCCATGCGCCTAGGCCGAGAGAGAGCGAGTGCAGGTTGGTGCAGGGGGCGAGAAAGTTGAGCTTCCAGTTTGCCGGCACGAATACGTCGGTTTCGTCCCGGGCCCTTCTTGAGAGGGATAGGTGGAGCGAGGTGAGCGCGGAGGAGGGGAAGGAGGAGGGGGAGGGGGGGGGGGCGGTGGTGGATGAGGGGGACGAGGGACTGGCAGGCGAAGGAGAGGCGCAGGGCGGGGAGAGCGGGCGCGTGCGAGAGGAACCAGAGCACGCTGTTGGTCCACAGGGGCTTGAGGGGCGTGACGTGCAGGCAGATGGGGTTGTCGTCGGCCTGGTGGTGCGTGGGGGAAAGGTGTAAAGGATGGGTTGACGATCGCATAACAGAAGGGACGAGCTGGTTTTTGAGAATTCTCAAAAACCGGTTTGAGGGGCGTGAGGCGCAGGCGGATGGGGTTGTCGTCGGCCTGGTGGTGCGTGGGGGAAAGGTGTAAAGGATGGGTCGACGGGGGCATAATATAAGAGACGGAAAGATGAAGGCGTACGGAAAGGTGAGGGCGTACGGGAAGGCGGGAGTGCATGGGAATGCGAAAGCGTACGGGAAGGCGAGAGCGAACGGGCGAGAGCGTACGGGAAGGCGGGAGTGTACGGGAATGCGATAGCATACGGGAAGGCGGGAGTGTACGGGAATGCGATAGCGTACGGGAAGGCGAGAACGAACGGGAAGGCGAGAGCGTACGGGAAGGAGGCGAGGGCGTACGGAAATGGAAGGTGACGGGAGAAAAAAAAGGTCGGGCAAGGGTGGGGAAGGGATGAGCACGCAATGGAGCGAGGGCTTTGAGGGGTGCGGGGGCACTAACAGCGAAGGAGGGAGGAATGGAGCGACGGGATGGAGGATGCGGCACTAACAGTGAAAGAGACGACGTGGAGGAGAAGCCTCTTGCAGGCGATGCCGCAGCACAGCAGAGGTGATTTTTGAGGCGCCTAAAAAAAAACAAGATTGCACGCGGGGTGCGGCGGCACTAACAGTGAAAGAGACGACGTGGTGGAGAAGCCTTTTGCTGGCGAGCCCGCAGCACAGCAGAGCGCAGGACGGGGATGAGCATGCAATGAAGCGAGAGGGTGGGGTGCGGCGGCACTAACAGCGAAGGAGACGACGTGGAGGAGAAGCCTCTTGCTGGCGAGCCCGCAGCACAGCAGCGGCCACGAGAAGCCGTACATCCGAGCGTTCCTCGCGTGCTGCCAGCACGCCGAACCGCCCTCCCTCGAGAACTCCACCCTCTGCATGCCCGCGGCGCGCTCTTCGGGTGTCGGCGGCTTGAAGCCCGAGGGGCAGCCGTAGAGGCTGGTGGAGAGGTGCGGCGGCGTGGCGGTGCAGTCGCCGCGGCGCTGCAGCAGCAGGCGGAAGATGCGGTGCCAGAGCGCCGCGGGTAGCTTGTCGACCGAGTCGTCGAAGTGAACTGGTGGCGGAGGCGGCGGTGGCGGCGGCGGCGGCGGTAACCTTTTCTGTCGCTTGTTCTCGCGTCGCTTGGGCTGTCCATTCGCTGCCCCTGTTGACGATTCTCCGTGACCTCCCACCCGCGACGCCATGCTGCTAGCTGCGCGAGCGTCAGCCATTGGCGGCTCCTCTTTTTCTCTTGTTACACTAGTATCACATTCGCATTCTAATAAAGAACCTAGCTTTTACCTGCTATGACTCTCGGAGGCGTCTGGAAGTCACAAGATAAAACGCGCTGCCATGCTGCTAGCTGAGCTTAGAGTTCCAAACCCAAGTTGGGCTTGCCAGGCTACTTGACCCATGTGCAGTCAGCGTTACCGAATTCAACCCTGCTGTGAGATGGAGAGAATCCAAGGCAGGAACAGCCCCTTCCAGCAGCTTCCACACCAGAACGTGACAGGCCTACGGATTGCTGAACTCGCGGGGAAAAATGTGACAAAAAATCTCTTCAGGAGAGAATTGCCGCGGCGCGGGTGTTGGTCTCGTGAATTTTTCTTATCGCGCTCAATTTTTTTCACAACCCGAAAGACACACACTCCACCTTCTATCCCGAGCGGTACGCGCTCCCGAGATTTCGCTTCAATTTTAGTCGTGTACATGTAAGTGTACGGTCATGTCGGAACTTTTTGGAAGGAACCCAACCGCGAGCGTCCAACATTGTGGGAACCAAACCAGCGTAGTGCTGGGTTGCCAAGCCTACGTGTGACTTTTCGGCGTTTAGACTCGACACCGACGGGGCAGGTACCAAAGCCGCGGCGCGAGCATGGTATAACACTAGACACGTCAGAATTAGCAAAATCGAATCCAGCTCAAAATGGAACCAGTCGTGGTGTCACACGTTACCATATCGATCGATAACAATTCGAGGTTAAAAAACGAGTGTCGATGAACGCCGACTTCCGTTAATATATAAGATAAAAATGAATGGATAATACAAATAGAACTGTATAAGAATTTACTTCTGCTAAATAATATTGGTATATGTTAATAGCTAGTTTCTTCACAATTCCAATACATGGTTTTTTTTCTGTGAAGTATTTAAACAAAGTAATGAAGACAAAACAAAGTATCGTTCTGACTATAAAACAATTATTAAATTAGACTATCAAATGTCTAGGGTTTATACGTATTTTTGTTACCGAAGATATATACTGGCAATTGTATAAATCTTCTCTAAAGATACCGTATGGATATCAAGAAGGTATCTTACAAATGTACGTGCATATACATCCTATTGGAAATTTGAATTTACAAAGTATGAAAATATGCATGAGCTTACATTACCTTTACATTACCCTACATTACAGCATATGATTAGAACATCGTCAAACAATTGCAATACAAGAGATAAGCATAGCAATTGATTTTTATTGTCTGAAAATATTTAATCAGGTGGGTATGGTCTCTCACAAGACATAACAACGCCAATTGGGCATGGCATAAATACGTAATGCAGGCACAACTGATCATACATAATACATTGAGATAACAGTGTCTGTAGCAAGGTTGATTATGCTTGTGAAAAGGTTGGCTAGTTTTTACAAAGTGTAAAAATGCTGGAAAAGGCAGGATTCTTTCCGTTTACTTACTATGATGATCATGCCTCCATGCACCAATACAATGAATAGATAAGTAAAAATAAAGTTCTTCAAACAAAAGAACAAACCTAAGTACAGTGTTAATGTCTTAAACAATAAACAAATTACTTAACATACAAGATCACAATATGTGCATCTTCTCCCCAAAAACCATGGGGTTGCAGATTTTTGCAAAAGAGTGATCAACGGTTTTTTCACAGTACAACAAAATGGAACCGAGTGTGATAATATATGGCTTTTTATGAACTTTTTTTTTATATATCTAGTTGGGTGCTGTTTACTTTGTTAAAAATACTCCCTCCAAATATGTAGTTACAATCTACTGATGATTTCTTCGTTGTAAAACGGTCGCTGTATATAGTACCGAGCACACAAAGAATGCCTTTTTACCACATCAGCACGCACTTGAACATCTTCACTTCGATAGTATGACGCGGCGCTAAATTATTGGTTGATACGTTCTCAATGTGTTACGATCTGTTTTTTAACACGGCTTCAAATCTTCCGCGTGGCATGGCAAGAGCTGGAAGGAAACGACTGAGTGCCTGACGGCTACGTGCCACATGGGCGCAGCACTACAGTAAATGAGATTTGCGCGGTGTGAAAATCAGTACAGTAAATTTCATCAAGCCAATCGCATTGCGACACGCCTAAGCCCACACGACTGTACTATCTGATACAGTGATCCGCAGCACTTTGTCGAGCCTGTTCGCGCTCGAACCTGTCCGAACCTGTTATCCACACTTTGAGGAACGAAATGACCAATCGGCTAACACTGCGTGGCAGTTATGTTCGATTTCAACCAGCAAACTGCCCACCGACAAATTGGAACTCCCAAAAAAAAAACCATTATGGTGTTTAAATGAAGCGAAATCTCGGGAGCGCGTACCGCTCGGGATAGAAGGTGGAGTGTGTGTCTTTCGGGTTGTGAAAAAATTTGAGCGCGATAAGAAAAATTCACGAGACCAACACCCGCGCCGCGGCAATTCTCTCCTGAAATTTTCTCCCCTCCCAGTTGCGTTGCTGGTCAAGGGCGGCGAGAAAAGGGAAGGGATGTCGGACCGCGCTGTTTGATGTGTTGACGAAATTCCGTGGCACTTCGCGCGTGGGTTTCGCCACGATGGTTGGGGGGTGTACGGCGGGGTGTCCTTCATGCCGAACGAAGTGGCTCGAACCGAGAGATTTGCTCCAAACCCTTGTTTGGGGATTCGTTGTTGCACACGTGGCTACCATTTGCTAGAGTGGTTATCAAATTCAGTGATAATTGCTCGAGTGGCCTCGCCTGGGGATTCTCAACGTCTTTTTTTAAAAGGCACATTACCCTTCACGGGTATTTATCCTCGAAACTTTTGTATTGGTTATTGCGCGATCTTTTATATCCGAAATTTATGTTCATGACCCTATGACCGCGCCTGATTGGACGCTCATATAATCGACCAATCCTGCGCAGCCATTAATGGTCGCGCGCAAAATATTTTAATGCTCGATCATATATTTCCGCGGTTATAAACTGCAATGTCCTTAATGACCGCACATGATTGGTCAATTATATGTGCGGTGCCTTTTTTTGAAATGCGCGTCCAATCAGTGTCTGAACATTATAGCTCATGCATATTGTGTAGGCTATAGTGGGGTAGCCCATAAGGGGTACAACCCAATTAGGGTTAGTACTTGTACCCAATTCATTCATAGTTCATCTATTCCTCGTTTCTTCTCATGGTATCGAGCAGGTTCCCTAGTGGGAACGCTTCCTAGGGCCCACCACGAAATTTTTTTTTTCCTGCCCGGAGCGCGCTTCGCTCCCACAGTCGCGCCCTCTCACGACCCCTCACGGCCCCTCGCGTCGCCCTTAGCGGCCCCTTACGGCCCCTAGCGCGGCCCCCTACGGCCCCTTACGGCCCCTCTTGCCGCCCGTCGGCCCCTTACGGCCCCTTACGGCCCCTCGCGCGGCCCCTTACGGCCCCTTACGGCCCCTCGCGCCGCCCGTCGGCCCCTCGCACCGCCCTCAGCGGCCCCTTACGGCCCCTTACAGCCCCTCGCGCCGTCCCTTACGGCCCCTCCCGCGGCCCCTCACGCCCCCCCCCCCCCTACGGCCCGTCGCCGCCCTCCGCGGCCCCTCGCGCCGCCCCTGCACGGCCCGCCCTCCGCTGCTCCTCGCGTCCCGGCCCCTCGCGCCGTCCCTTCCGGCCCCTCGCGCGGCCCCTTACGCCCCTTACGGCCCCTCCCGCGGCCCCTCACGCCCCCCCCCCCCCCCCCTTACGGCCCGTCGCCGCCCTCCGCGGCCCCTCGCACCGCCCTCTCCGGCCCACTGTCGCCGCCCCTACCGCAGCGGCCGCCGCCGTCCCTGCAGCAGCAGCCGCAGCCGTCGCCAGCAGCAACCGCCACCACCTCCCTCGGGGCCGCGGCTGCTGCCGCAGCT